TGCTGTTTATCACCCTTCTCCCCTTGTTAGTTTCTAATCTCTGCTTCTTCTGATCCACAAATGGTTCCCTTCCCTTCCCTGCTCTCGTAATTAGAAACATACTTCTTTACTATTTTAGTTTGTTTATTTTATTTTATTTTTATTTTTATTTTTTTTTGAGGAAGATCAGCCCTGAGCTAACATCCGTGCCAATCCTCCTCTTTTTGCTGAGGAAGACCGGCTCTGAGCTCACATCTATTGCCAATCCTCCTCCTTTTTTTTTTTTTCCCCCAAAGCCCCAGTAGATAGTTGTATGTCATAGCTGCACATCCTTCTAGTTGCTGTATGTGGGATGCGGCCTCAGCATGGCCAGAGAAGCGGTGCGTCGGTGCGCGCCCGGGATCTGAACCCAGGCCGCCAGCAGCAGAGCACGCGCACCTAACCGCTAAGCCAGGGGGCCGGCCCTTAGTTTGTTTATTTACTGTCTTTACCACCAAGATGCATTATTTCCATAACTAAATTGCTCTGTTTCCCATTACTCTGCCCCTACCCCTACCCAATAAGATGCGACCTTTGTAGCATTTCCCCTCCTTCCTCCCCACTCCTGGTTTGAGACTGTTTGATGTTTTTAATTCTAGGCTGGTATCAGTCCCTATGGCTGCCCAGGCTCCACATTCCCAGAGGCCTGCCCTTACCTACTTAGATTGACTTTTAAAGCTTCTCTCCTCTCCATCTCTCTCACCTCTGTTGTGTCATTTTGTTGGTTTCCCTGTAGGCAGGGTACGTATGTCGGAGGCTCTGACTTCTTGTACATACTCAAGTGTCTGTCCTTTGTTCTCACCGACAGATGAGATCTTTGCTGCTGTGGCTGTTTTCTCTTGTTGCTCTGTGGATGTCACTCTCCTGTCTTCTAGTGTCCTTGTTGAAGATGAGGCCTCGGAGGCTATTGGTTCTTTTCCTTTGTCAGTAACTCTTTCTTTGCCTGGTATCTGGAACTCTGGGGGCTTCTCAACCTGCAGGCTGAGGTCTTCCTTCAGCGAGGGATGTTTTCTTCCATTTGTTTCATTATTTCATCTCCTTTCCTTGTTCTTTTTGCTTCTGGATTCCCTGTTATTTCATGTTGTATCTCTTGCTTTGCTCCTTTAAGTCTCTTATCCCTTTCCTCATGATTTCTTCCTTCTTACATTTTCCCCTTGTGTTTAAGATATTGCTGTGTTTCATCTTCCAGGCTACTAGTTGGGGTTTTAAGAGTGAACTTCCTTTCCTTTCATCTGCGGAATGGTTTTAGAGGGGAGATTGATTTTTTTCCTCCAAATCTCTCTCTCTCTCTCTCTTTTAGTTTTATTTTGATTGGTTTGGGGCTGTACTTGAATCTCTGGGACTTTGTTGACTTTACCTTCTGGGTCCCTGGCAGAGCCCAAGGATTTACTTGCATTCAGGGCCCTCAGGCCTCAGCAGTAGTTGGTTTAGGACAGGTTTGGGCTGTGAGGCTTGGCAGGGAGGAAAGGAAGCCATGCTTAGGTTTCCACGTGTCCAGCACCTACTTGGCCCTCCACTGCCCTCCACCTGTGCTGAGGACAGCTGTGTCCCAGGCACTGGGTTTGTATTTCAACCATGTCATCCCTCCATCCACTCTGTCATTTGTTTAAGCTGTTGGTTGAGCCCCAAAATGTTCCAGGCCCTGCATTGTTTCACTTAATCCTACACAACCCTGTGAGGTACAGATTGTCTGTTACCTATTTTCAAGTGAGACTCTGCAGGCCATGTGACATGTACAAGGTAACATGCCTCGGGCAGTGGGTGCTGGGGATTTGCTTCTACGTGGGCTTGTTGTCTAACCCACATCACCTCTGTTACCCCACGCTGGGGAGTGCAACTGCTCAGCTGGAAGGAAACTCACACTTCTTGTCTGTCCCTTCACTGGCCTCTGGTAGGGCCATCGAGGGCAGGGGCAGATCTTAGTCATTCTGTGTTTTCTGTTCCTTGCTCGGAGCCCGACACAAACAGTCTGTACACGTTTGCTGAAAGCATGGGTATTAACCAGGACTAACAGAGACTTATAGTAACTAACAAACTGCTCCTCTGGGCACAATGGAAAGAAACTCAAATATTTGCTTGTGGTCATGCATTATTCTCACTAATGCTTAACTCCATCGTCAATCATAGGTTAATTTAGTTCTTGATTTCCCCCAGCTTGAAGATAATCATATTTTTTTCTTGAAATAAGCCTTTTCATTATAAAGAATAGATGCTAAGTTAAGCCAGGAAAATGCAGAAAGCTGAAGAGAAGTAGGCCCAATCTCTCATGGTTTTCCCACCAAAGCTATGATTGTGGGTGGGACAGTGTTTACTGGGCACTCCTGCTTGTACCAGAGAGCTGGGCTGGAGTCACTGTCCAGAGCCAACCTGAGCACACGGGAGCTGCTTGCTGGGAAATGCTGTCCTCAGGGACCTGCGCGCCTATCTCCAGAGACCCCGGGTCTGGAATGCCCTGAGGCCCGGAACGCCCTGGTGGAATGTAGGCCTGGCTGTCCCTGTGCCCTGACCAAGTGGAGCCCAGGACTCCGGCGGGTCTCTGTCCTTGGTACTGCCCTGGCGTGCGTGTGGAAACACCAGCTCTCCTCCAGGGCCTGAGAGTAGGAGCGCCTCCCTCGGGCTGTGCTCAGAGCTCCTGGGATCCCACTCTCCTGGTGTCTCTGGGGGTGTGTGTTACAGCGAAGAGCTGGGGGGCTTCAAGGGCCATGTGGGCATTGTGGTTTTGTGCAAATGTCCCTGTGGACACTACTATGTGGTTGTGCCTCTGACGAGTGAGGATGTGTGTGGCTATCTGCATGTGGGCACAGGTGGATGGGGGGAGGAACCAGGCAGTGTGCAAGGGCAGCGTGTGGGGCAGCATTCCCACGAGACCTTTCTCACCCAGGTGTTTTCTAGTTCTTCCTGGGCATGGTCCAGTGAGCCAGGTGGGGATGGCCAAGGAGTCTCCCTTGGAGAATTTGCTTCTTATCTCACTGGCCACATGTATGTGCACATAGCAGTTTGCATGAGTTATGTGTCCTCTTCACCCTCCTTCCCAGAGGGGCCCTGTGTGTGTTCAAGGTGTGCACCTGTCTGAGTCTGTGTGTATGTGGTTGTGTCTGAGCATGAGTGTGTGTGACTCTGTTTCTAAATGTCTAAGTGGTGTGGGTGTGTTTGGGGGTTCTGAGCATGTGGGTTCACTGGACGGGTCTGTATATGGCTTTGCCTCCGTGTAGGTCTCTCCTTGTCTGTGCTGTCTGTCTTCCCTCTGTGCCCCATTACAGCCTTTGAGGAGGGAGCAAGTGTGTCAGGCTGTGGCCTTGGCACTTCGCAGCTCTCAGCTCATGGAGAGGTTTTGTTGAATGAGCCAGCTCTGACTAATTGGCGGTGGCTGGTGTCTGGACGTGGATTGGGAGGCTATGTCCTGGCTTAGCCAGGAGGAGGGCTGTAATGAAACAGTGTCTTCCATGGGTATGGATGGAGTGTGGCATCTAGAGTGCCAGAACTTTGCCATTAGAACCCTGCGAGTTCCCTCAGAGGGCTGGCTGATGGCTGCTGTCCTCGGGACCCCTCCGTCTATGTCTGGGGCTGTCTGTGACAGCGTCTTCCTGCCTGATGCAGCTGCTCAGCTTGTGGTCAGTTCTCTCCACAGGCCTCGGGGCCTGTCTTCATTTCAGTGAATCCAAGAAAACACCAGCCCGATGATGCTCTTAGTGAGCCACTGAGAGCCTGGGTGTGCACACACACACACGTGTGCAACTACACACGACTTCACATACACACGCTCACACACATTCCACAGCCTTCCCCAGGGACCCAATCCCAAGCCCAAATATTCAATGCTGACTTGGTTTGAACACTCAGAGGCACACACATGCCAAGTCCTTATTGCACAAACTAAAGAAACCCTGATGCAGGCACAGCTGTGTGGCGGAGACACACGGATGTCTGTCCTGATAGACAAAGCCAGACTCTGCACACGTGCACACTCAGAACCTCCAGGCACCCACGGAGTGGGTTAAGTAGTGCGAGGGGTTCCAAGGTGAAAGAGCATGTGGCCCCCGTCCTCACGGAGCTTGCGGCCTGCTCTGGGAGTCAGACACAGAACAGGCTGAGAAACCAATACCGTGGCAGATGGCACGAGTTATGATTATTGTTGGGGGGCTGAGGACCCTATTTTAGCTGGACTGCCCAGAGAAGTGAGCTTTGTGGAGGTGGCGTGGAAGCCGAGACGTGAAGCTGCGGAGGAGCCTACCGTGGGAACGCGGCCGCCCGAGGGAGGCATTCCACGCTCAGGTCAAGGCAGAGCAGAGGTGGTGTGTGCGGAAAAGGAGAAAGCACTGGGGTTTGGGCGCTGAGTAGGGGAGAGGTGCAGCTTCATGGGCAGACTTTCCAGAGAGTGAGCATTTGGGGCTTTTTGGGCCATACTTACTTCTGCCGCTGTACCAGGACAGCAGCTGTGGACCAGATGCAAACGAAGGAGCTTGGCTGTGTTCCAGTAAAACTACTTAAAAAACCGGTGGCCGGTGATTGTAGACCCTTGAGTTAAAGAGGGAAAGAGGGCCAGATGCAGTAGGACTCACAGGCCTCATGGAGGAGTTGAGATGGCCTGGGAGCATCAGGGTTGTGCCCCTGAAAGATGCCGGGGTGCTGGGCCCAGACACCAGTTCCGATCCAGGGCTCTCAGCCAGAGCCCAGTAACCATGGAGATCAGCAAGGCTCTCGGTTCCCTCATTTGTGAAATGCGGGCAGGGCCAGGACCCATTGCAGGGGGTGCAGGGGTCATTAGCACAATGTCAATAACGGGTCAGACACATATGGTGCCTGTGATTGGAAGTAGGGCCTTGCCAGGCCCAGGCTGGGGCAAGTGTCTTTGAAGGTGTTTTTATGGAGGGAGATGCGTGGGGGCGGGGGCGTGTCCGCAGAGGCACATGTCAGCGGGAGGAGAGTCTGTCCTGGGGCCCAGTGGTCCCTGCACGTCCTCAGTGAGCCTCCTGTCCCTCCAGGATCCCCCTTCGCCCGTGCCAGCCTCAAGAGCGGGAAGACGGAGAGCTCGTCGTACTTCCGGAGGAAGGAGAAGATGTTCCGCTTCTTCATCCGGCGCGTGGTGAAGGCACAGAGCTTCTACTGGGTGGTGCTGTGTGTGGTGGCCCTGAACACGCTGTGCGTGGCCATGGTGCACTACAACCAGCCGCAGCGGCTCACCACAGCGCTGTGTATGTAGCCATGGCCCGGGCCTCCCCCTCACCTCTTCCCGAACCGCCTCTGGTCTGCAGCCTGGACATCCTGGTCCACAGCCTTTTGCCTTGGAATGTCCTGGGTAGGACCCCTGTGCTGACCAGAGTGCCCCCACAGGCCTGGTCAGGCCACAGGGGCCTCTGCTGGGGGCCGGGGCTGCACTCAGGGCCTGAGCTTCGCATCCCAGGGTTGCGCAGGCTCTGCAAACCTGGGCCCGGGTTCCAGGAAGCCCAGCTGATCTGGCTAGACCCCCATCCATCAGTGTGGTGTGAAATGAGTGAGGGATCTGGGGCATCCTGGGGAGGAAGTTTGTGGGATGACCTGTGTCCTCCCTTGTAAGGGCTTCAGACCCATGGACTAGGGGACTTAGCTCCTCAGCTCCTCGTTCCAGTCTGCCACAGGCTGCAGCTCCTGCCTGGGTCCCTGAGGAGAAAGAGTCCTGTCTTCTGTGGTTCTCCTGGCGCTCTTCTGGCTGTTGTTGTTTTTCTTTTTGTTTGGTTGAATCTAAGTGTGTCCATGACTAGGGCTGACTTACTTAAACAATCCTGTGTCCATGAGCCTTAGGACAAGCCACAGGGATCTGAGTTATGACTTGTCTTGGCCCTGGCTACAGCTCCAAGGAGGTGAAGAGAAGATAAGTGGAGTGGTTGGGGCTCCTTGCCCCCCTCCAGGGACCAGGCCCGACACTCCAAGACTGACCCTTCATATCCTAGGGCTCTGCAGGTCATGTGGAACTTTAGGGCTTGGTCTGTCATCTTACCTCACAAGAGCGCTAAGAAAAAGACTCCACTAACGATTACCGTCCTATGGTCAGTGCTTCTGCCTTCCCCTTCCCCAGGGTCGGCTGCCCTCACCCTGCCTGGTGTCTGTGGTTGACCTGGAGACAGGACCCGTTTTGGGCTCCCACGAGGGTCTTGCTGTCTCCGTAGGAGCCCTGTGTGCCTGAAGCCACCTAAGGTGCCCAAGAGAGCCTTTCTCCAGAGAAGAACCCTCCTGGCTCCCAGGCCTGGCCCCTGGCGGGCCGGCCACACTCCCCTCTATTGGACCACTGAGCCTGGTCAGCTTGGACCAAGAGCCTGGGCGGCTCCTGAAGGGGTCTTATGAGCTGTAGGCTCAGATGGCTGCACAGGCCACTTGAAGATGTGGGTGGGAGTGGCTGTGTTGGGGGTGGTACTCTGGGCTGCAGTTTCCCAAACTTGTACTGAAATCCATTACTTGTATAATGGGAAGGGCAAAGAGGCAACGGAAGCAAAAGGGGCCCAGGGAGCTTCAGGCGGACAGCCTGGCTCAGGCTCTGCGGATAGAAGGAAGGAGAAGGAGCAGTTTGTGTGTGTTGACCTGCCCACTCTGATGGCTGATTCATATGTCCTGGGGCTGGTAGTTTGGTGTCTTGGGACTTTGCTTGGGATGGAGCTCAGCATCTCCCTTGAGTCCTCAAGCTAAAATTTCCCCACCCTTGGGGGTTGGTTGGGGACTAGGGAGACCGGGCTTCCTCCTGACTCAGTGGCATGCAGCTGCCCCCTGGGGCTTCCTAGCCAGGCCTTTCTTCCCATGAAAGAAGCCAGTGGTGCCTAGTCAGTCTTGTGGTTCCTCCTTGTTTCCTGGGGATTTGCCACCTGAGTGGGCGGAGGGCGCCCTCCATGGCCTGGTTGCATGTCTGATGTGCAGGAGCACAAGGCTGGAGGTGCCCAGGAGCTAGGTAAGGCTACAGGTGTCCCTGGCCAGGAATCTGCCCTCTTGCTGCTTTGTCTTTTCTGTGGTTTCCTGGGAATTTCTGAATTCATTGGCAGCACCCAGGGAAAATGGCTGGAGGGAGAGGTGGGTGTATGCTAGGTCTGGACAGTCTGCTCAGTGCCCTGGGCACTGTCCTTGACAGCTGGGTGGAGCTCAGGGAGGCTCATCCAATCAGGTAGGGCAGGCCTTGCAAGAAGCAGAGGCAGAGGCAGAGGTAGGAGGGGGTCTCTGCCAGGACCAGCTTTGTCGGAGCTCCCTGTGGGGCCCTGGCCTGAGGCTGGCCGCCCTGTGGAGAGTGGGTTCTGTGCACCTCAGCTGTCCGTCCATCAAGGACCCACCCCGATGCTCTACCAGGATCTCCGAGGCTATGAGGGAAGGAAGGGGGTGGATGTATGCTCGAGTACACAGCTAGCTGTTGGGCCTCATCATCCTGGGAGCCCCCTGGCCTCAAGACAGACTTGACCACCCTCCTGTCTGTCCCTCTGTTCCCGTAGCACACCGTCATCTTATTATAATACAAAACGCTGTTTAAATGATCTGCCTCTTCTCCCCCTTAGCCTTGAAGGCCTGGAGAGAAGGTGGGCTCTGTCCCGTGCCAGCCCCCAGTGGCACCATGCCTGCTAGTTGAATGAATGATTCAGGAATGCATGAATGAACACCCTTTCTTGGCCTCAGAGGGAGGCTGAGCACATGAAGCTGAGAGTGTCACTGCCTTGGGAGAGGAGAGGGCAGGTGAGAGGTGGGAACTTTCCGCGTCAGGTGGCTCCCGTTCTCTGAACAAGTCTCACCTCTGGCAGTTCCTGTGCTTGTTCCTGTGTTCTCACTTTGGTCTCCAGGGGAGCAAGATGAGTCCCTGGGCGGCTTCAGCTCCAAGATCAGGTGCGTGGGTGCCTGGAAGTCCCATATCTGTGGCCTCTCCTCCCATGACCTGGGTGGGGAGCCCTGAGGTACAGGGCCAGGGTGCCCTTGTGACCTCATGTGGAGGGGCTGTGGGGCTCGGTGGCCAGGAGCCTCGGGTCTTTCCAGGTTGCTGGGGCATTCCCAGCAGGACTTGGGGACAGGGCACAGCTTTCCCACCGCCTCTCACGCCTGCTGGTCAGCACAGCCTGGCCCAGGTGTCGGTCAGTCAAGCAGTGTCAAGCCTGGCGGCGGGTGGGTCTTCTGCCCCAAGCATTTGCTGCCTGAGGGTCAGCGGGTGTCCCTGCCTCTGATATGTGCTTCTCGGCCTCTCCAGGGAGGCTGCTTTGCCTTTTCATTACTCATCCCACGCCCAGCTTGGGTGCCCTGGTGATTTTTTGGCTGGCTCCAGAGGCCAGGCTTGCTGTAGGTCAGTTGCTCCCAGGAGCTGGTTGTCCATGTACTCAGGCCATAGAAGGAGGATCCCCTACCTGAGACCTTTTTGAGCCGTACAGACCATTGTGTGTCTGTCTGTGAGGCATGGTGCCCAGGGGGCAGTGGAGCTGGTGTCTCTGCTTGTCCAGGGTCTGGGCTGCTGGATCTGTGCAGCACAGTGCTTGGGGGAGAGCTGTAAAGGAAAGCAGATTTCAGGGTGCCTAGGGATGGCTGGAGGTGTGTGGCCCCCTTTTCCACCATCCATTTTATTAGGAGCTGCTTGAGGTCCAGTCTCCCAACCAGTCTGGATGTGAGAGGCCCTGGGATGGCTGGGCTGGTGACTGCCCAGTGACTGGACTCGCAGAAGCTTACCCTTCACTCGTTCTCCGTGGCCCTCTGTGGTGGGCTCTGCCCTGGGTTCTGAGTTGCTTCCCTGGCCCCTGCTGCTCTAGGGTCGGAGGCCACAGTGCCTTTGGCCTACTGTAGGAAATAATGAGCTGATTCCAGCTCAGCCTTTCGGGAGGGGACTCAAAGACAGTGACTTTGTTCTGATGTCTGGAATTCCTGGTTTGGCCAGCAGCTGAGCCCAGCTGCGTCTCCTGCTGTCTGGGCCTCTACAGCTTCTGAAATGTTTTTTCTTGCTCTGACTCTACTTCTGTTCAGGCTAAGTGAAGGGTAGTGTCTGTGTCCCTCGAACTCCCAGTGTGGCCCTCAGCTCCAGTGTGGCCTCCCTTCAGTCCTGAGGCTCTTGAGGGTCAACACGGCCAGTGGTGGGACTCCTGGGCCGAGGTAGGCCCTGCTCGCCGCCGCTGCCTGCTGGGGCCTGGCTTGCAGGAATGTGAAGGTGCCCACAGAAGCCTCTGTGTGACTCACAGGCAGAGCTACGAGGTGGCGTCCCCGAGGTCCCCAGCAAGCATCAGTGCCTCTTGGGAGCCTCATACTGGTTGGGTCTGGGGACCCTTGGGTGGTGGAGAAGCTCACCATTTAGTGGGCTGAACCCATGAACAAAGTTAAAACCAAACATGGTGCTGTGAGTCTCCTGAGGAGGGGTGTGAGGGAAGTCCTCGCAGAAAGATGGAGAGACTCTGAGGAGGAGGCTGAGGGACTCCGCCTGAAGCAGGCTGAGGCAGAAGGACTGCCCAAGGCTGTCCAGCTTCTCTGCAGGGGTTGGGGCCTCTGCCCGACAGCTCCAGGCCTTCCTCTGGGGGTAACCCATGACCCCAGTCCCAGGAGCTCACCTCCTGCTGAGCCTGTCTCTGTGTCCCACAGGCACCGAGCACTCACCACCTTTCAGACTGGAACGAGCATCTCTATGTGTCCCTCCTGTTGGCTATTTCTGTCCTGGGCTGAGATTTCAGAGCTCAGAGGCCACAGACCAGGCCTGGAGGGCTCAACCCTGGAGAGGCCCAGCGGTCTGGTGTCCTCCAGTCTGGGCTGGAGCCAGGTGGGAGGAGGCCGTGAGCTAATCCCCCTCTTCTCCGGCTTCTCCTAGACTTTGCAGAGTTTGTTTTCCTGGGTCTCTTCCTCACAGAGATGTCCCTGAAGATGTATGGCCTGGGGCCCAGAAGCTACTTTCGATCCTCCTTCAACTGCTTCGACTTTGGGGTGAGTGAGATGCCTCATCAGGGATGCCTGCGGGGGGTGCAGGCTGGTCTAGCTGTGTCCTCGCTGGAGAGTACACACAGCCCCTGCCCACAGTGCTGTACCCTAGAGTGAGCTGCGTCTGTGGAGCGGGACCCAGGGGATTGAGGAGACTGTGATCCTATGTGGGTCAGAAAGGCTGCCTGTAGACAGGGAGTTGCAGTTGACAGAGGGGAGGCCCATTCTGGTCAGGCCCTGACTGATGGGGGTGCCAACTGCAGGCTCTTCCCCACTCGTAGGACATCCTCCTCCCTCCCTGACCCTGTCTGCAGAATCACGAGATCAGCTGAAGGCTCTGTGGCCCACTTTGTGCCTGGCACAACAAACTTTTTTTTTGCTGAGGAAGATTTGCCCTGAGCTAACATGTTCTGCTCACCTTCCTCTGTTTTGTATGTGAGCCGTCACCACAGCATGGCCACTGACAGATGAGTGGTGTAGGTCCGGGAACCAAACCTGGGCTACTGAAGCTGAGCACGCTGAACTTAACCCCTATGCCACTGGGGCTTGCCCACAACAATCTTTTAAATGTGTTGCTGTCCTGTGGAGGCCTCAGTCTCTCCCCAGCAGAGCTCAAGGGGGCTGTGGTCCTGGTCCCCCAATGTCCTGTGGGTCTGATCCTGGGCAGGCTTGGGCACATGCACCAGAGCTTCCAGGGAGGACTGACAGGCCGTGACAGTCCAGCTCTCCTTGTGGGGGTTGGGGGCATAATGGGCCTGGCCTGGGGCCTTTCACCAACCCCTGTAGGTCAGGGAAGCCTTGAAGGCAGGTGTTTCTGAGACTGGCTGTGAAAGAGCACAGGGCAGGGGCCACACAAAGATCACTTCCCTAGACCCAGCAGAGCATGCAGGACACCTCCCTGGGGCTGAGTCCAGAGCCCAGGGATGTGGTGCTATTGGCACCTGCCCAAAGGCTGAGTTCTGACCGTCTGGAGGCTCCAAGTAAGAAGTGGCGGGGCCACAGCCTCGACGAAGGACTTACATCCCTGCAGAGTTCTCAGCAGCCAGGGAGGAACCTGGACCTAGGTAGAAGTAAAACCTCAACTTGAAAATTGAGTTTAACTTTTTCTCTCATTGGTGCAGCAGTCCAGTCGACAGAACGTTGTGTCTGTGACTTTGCTAAATCCTCAGGACGACTCTTACTTTATAGATGCGTAACTGGAGACGTTGTGTGCTGGCCAAAGGCTGCCCAGCTGGTCTACAGGGGAGTCAGTGCTGGAAGCCAGGCTTGCTGACCCAGGTGGCGTGGTTTACACCATGCCCTGCTGCCTGATCTCTGTGGGGAAGGAGAGGGGTGGCGCCCAGGATGCTCTCTGAGACGGTGGACACCTGTGATTTTAATAGGCGGCTGAAAGGAAACCAACTCTTTTTGTCCTTTGCCTTCTTATCCAAAGAAAGGCTGTAGAGCACATAGGCAGAGGGAACCCAAAGAGGGGAGGAAGTTTCAGAGATACGTTAATCTTTTAAATGTGTTTCAATCTGAACTAACTGGATCCCGGGACATGGGAATAATTTGCATATAAGCTAACAAATTATTCCAAAATTTAGCAGCTAAAAACAACAAGTATCTGTCATCTCACTGTTTCTCTGGGTCAGGGATCCAGGCGTGGCGTAACTGGCTGCCTGTGGCTAGGGTCTCTCAGGAGGTTACATTCCAGCTGACAGCCGGGTGTGCAATCAGTCCAAGGCTTGATTAGGACTGGGGAATTTGCTTTCAAGCTCATCACATGGCTGTTGATAGGACTCAGAAGACCAGCTTCCAAGCTCCTCCCATGGTTGGCTGGCCTCTGTTCCCTCCCATGGTGGGGCTCTCCGCAGGCTGCTCCAGTGTCTTCACAGCGCGGCTGCTCGTGATCTGAGAGGACCCAAGACAGAAGCTGCAGAAGCCCAGTCTCAGAGGAGAGAACCCCTCCGTTTCACCGTATTATGTTTGTTAGGAGTGAGTCACAGGCCCAGCCCACATTTAATTATCCCCAAGGGGGGATATTACACCAGGATGTGAACACCAGGAGGCAAGATCATTGGGAGCCATCTTAAAGGCTGCCTACCTCAGTCTGCCATCCGGTCCCAATGATTCATATCCTTCCTAATGTAAAATACACTCACCCTCTCCCAATTCCCCAAAGTCTCATCCCATTACAGCATCAGCTCAAAGTCCAGAATCTCATCACCCACATCCGGGCCAGGTATGGTTGAAGCTCCATGGGTCCAGTTCCTTAAGCACAGCTCCTACTGTTCCTCTCAGTCTGTAGACCTGTGAAACTAAAGAGATAGGTTATCCACTCCCACACCCAACATGCAGAGGTGGGACAGGCAGAGGATAACTGCTATAGATGTTCCTCTTCAGAAAGGGACAGTGGGACGCACAAGAGAGCCACTGGTCCATGGCAGTTCCGGAACCCAGCTGGGCAATGTTGGAAATTTGTGATGAGTTCTGTGGGCCTGGGAAGCCCTCTAGGCTCTTGACTTTGCCCTCTGAGTCACTTTCCTTTTTCATGAAAGGCAGCACATGTTCTCAGCTGAACACTTTTCTCAGCTTGCTTCTGACTGGTAGAGTTTGGGGAATCCAAAGGCCTATTTTTGTTTTGTACTGTCTCTTTCCCCTTCAACACAAGCTGGTGGTGTTTCTGCAAATGTGAGCCTTTAAGAACTTTATGGGTGTGTCATGAATCTTCTTGGAGTTCACTCCATCAGACAAGAGCTGCACCCACAGCTCTCTTAGAGGTTAGCCCTTCTCTGCCTATGTTCCTGCTGAGATGACTGAGATCAACACACTTTAGTGTCCTGGAGAACTTACTGCTTCGTTGAGCCGATTTTTGAGGCACGCCTTCAATCTCTTTGAAGGGCCTGCAAGTGTGACTGAACAGTGCTCTGAGGGCCCACCTTTGATCTTTTGGAGACCTCAAAAGTCACAGTCATGCCCTTGGCTTCATCTTTAGACTGTGCCGTTTCTTAATTTTGGCATCATTTGCTATCTGGAGAGGCTGAGCATTTCCAAACCAGTAAGTCCTGCCTTCTTTTTATTTAGCAGCACTGTCTTCTGTTTCTCTCCTCTCATATTTGACTATAAGCAGCACTCTGCTTGGAAGTCTCCTCAGCTAGATCTCCCAGTTGATAAGCACATTTTCCACTTTTCACATAACTGCAGACAACAGTGTGGCTAAACTTTCTGCCAATACCCAAGAAGACTCCCTTCCTTTCGTTTCCTATGATTCCTCTCACTTTCCTGCAGACCCTTATGTGCAGTGTCCTCAGTGTCCAAAATTCTACAGGTAGTGTTTTCAGGGCACTTCAGGCTTTCACTAATATGCTGCTCAATGCCCGCTCTCTGGTTCCAAAGCCACTCCCACATCTTAGGTTTTTATTTCAGCAGCACCTCACTTCTGTTTCCAAAATCTGTATTGGTTTTTCTTGCTGTATAAAAATTTCCCCAAAGGTTAGTGGCTTAAAACAACAAACATTTATTATCTCTCATTTCATTGAGAAATGAGATCATTTCTCAGGGTCAGGGTCAGGAGTCAGGGTGTGACTTAACTGGGTGTCCCTTGCTCAAAGTCTCTCATGAGGTTGCAGTTGTCACTTCTAAGCTCATGCTCGTGGCTGTTGACAGGCCTCAGAAAATCAGTTTCCAGGCTTACTCACGTGGTTGCTGGCAGGCCTGTGTTGCTGGTCATGTGAGCCTCTCCACAGGCTGCCCTAGTGTCCTCACAACATGGTAGCTGGTGATGCGCGAGAGAGCTGAAAGTGCTAAGATGGAGACCACAGTCTTCTTATAACCTAATCTCAGCGGTGACATCCCTTCACTTTTGTCATATTCTTTTTGCTAGAAGTGAGTTGCTAGGTCCAACCCATCCTCAAGGGATGGGATTATAGAAGGGCGTGAACACCAAGCAATGGGGATCATTGGGGACCATCTTAGAGGCCCCCTACATCATGAACCAATGGGAACAAATTCTGAGGATTAATGGAAAATAGGAGAGATGCTGGAAGACTGACAAGGAGAAGAAAGTAGATTTAGAAAACTACAATCTTCAGCCCTGGGCAAACATCTGGATGCTGTGTGAGTGCTGAGAAAAATTGGTGGTGATGGTTAGGGTCCCCCAGAACAGACTGTGGCAAGCTTGTCCCGTTCATTGTACTGCAAGGGTTATAACGGGCGCTGCAGCTATCAGTATATCTGGACGTCAGCAGGACATCTGGTATTCTCTGAACGATGGGTCTGTGTTCAAGGTGGAGAAATGTGTAGTGGGTGGCTGTGCATTTGGGGTGACTCATAACTGGTGCAACCACCAGACCAGACCTGCAGGTTACTGGACCACTGTTAACTGTAGGGGAGTCTCCAGTCAGGCACCAAGCCTCTGTCCTGGCACATTCACCATTTTCTTGGTGAGAATGTTCATGTTAAGCTGATTAGACTTGCAGTTGATGTGAAATGAGTGGGAATGACTGAAACCTTGGATAATGATTGAGCCAAGTGCAGTAAAATGGAATTTAAGAGATTAATACTTGACATTTGAGTTTTCCACACCAATTACAGAAGTTGGGATAGAGGAAATGAGAATTAGCCTCACACACAAGAGGACGTGGGCGCTCATGCTGACTTTGAGCCTAGGGTGTGCCCCATGAGGTGTGGTGGCCTGGGAGGGAATTCAGTTTGAGCCCTGTTGGGTGTCCTGTCCAGAGGAAAGATGGTAGGGGGTCTGCTGTACTCTAGCTCCACTGCTCTGTCCTTTCCAAGTCCCTCACACCAGACACTGACCAGGATGGCCTGTTGCAGAGCCCATCTGAGGAACAGCTGGAAGAACGGGCATGCCACTTGCTCACAAGTCCCAGTCCACCAACATGGGCAGTGCCTGGGATAACCCTATTGGTGAAACAAGAGTGCAGGCATGCCACAATCTGTTCTTGGTGGCACGTCCTGGCTCCTGGTCATCGGGAGAAGACAAGACTCCAGATGCGCTTTATGGGTGTGATCATCTCAGGGCAGTGGCAGGACCAGGGAGGGGAAGTTACAAGGAAGCAGATTCTGTGGTCTGTGAGAAAGCAGTCCAATAGTCAAGGCTGTCTGAAATGGTTTGCCTGGCCCCAGAGGTGTTTGAGAAGTTGCTGGGTTCACCTGACTATGACAAAGCAGAGGGAAACATTGGACAAGGCTGCTTGAAGATCTGTCAGAAGACCAGCAGGCCTAACCTCACCCCACGTCACGTGTCCTTCTGGTGTGTCTGGGGTCGGAGAGGACGGGCACCGGCATTGGTGGGGCTCTGCAGCCCCCGAAGTCTCAGGAGCTCAGGGGGAGGCGTGTGCCTTGTGTTGCCTCATCTGGCTGGAGCTGCAGATAGGGGAGGCAGAGTGGATGCTCACAGAGAGACAGCCACACAGATGCACGTGTGCAGCATGAGTGTGTAAGCCCCTGAGGCTGACCCATCTCCATTGCAGGTCATTGTGGGGAGCATCTTTGAAGTGGTCTGGGCTGCCATAAAGCCGGGAACCTCCTTTGGGATCAGCGTGCTGCGGGCACTCCGGTTGCTGAGGATCTTCAAAGTCACAAAGTATGTCATCCATGTGCTCCTGGGTGAGGGGGAGATGCGGGGTGCAGGCAACGTGAGAGACTGGCCAACACAGCATGCTGGTTCCAGTCTTGAACTCAGCTGTCTGCAGTCCCTTTTTGTGACTTATAATTGGTTTAAATACAAAAAACAGTTATAAAACAGCCTGTGCCCCAGCACAGGGGCACCAGCCCAGCACGACTTCGTCTCGTTGTGGCCTTGTTGGGGGCCATGTCTGTCCTCAAGGTCACTCCTGACTGGCTTCAGTGCTGCCAGCAGGATTTCTAGTTCTCTTGTTCGCTTGCTCTTCATAGTTTCATACTGTCCCTTCTTTTGAAACCAGCAATCCCATCTTTCAGCTTTTAAAGGGTGACTTTACTTCATAGTTAATAGAAAAAATAGAAGTTATCAGATGGAAGTTTTTTCATCATCCTGCCCCCAAGTCTGCCCACCTACCCTGCAGTCCCAACCCTGGAGAGGGAGGGAGGCCTCAGCTGTCCTGGCCCTGACATGGCCCTGACCTTGTGACCTGAGCCAGCCTGGCGCCTGCAAGCTCCCATTCCCAGACCTGCTTTCTCCACCCTGTGCCTGACCTGCCCTGTCTGATCCTTGGTGAGATGACAGCCACATGACCGTGCTTCAGTTTTATCCCACTTGATTCTTTACATAACCCTGGAAGCGAGTCGCTCCGTTCTGCCTACAGGAAGGCTGAGGCCCCGGTGGTGAGAGGAGAGCTGGGGCAGAGTCTCTCCTGCTCGCTGCCAGAGTCGTAGTGCTGGAGAGGGAGAGCACCCCATCCACAACAGTCTCCTCAACAGTGAAGGCTGCTCTGCACTCAGCTGGTCTTAGCCGTGGCCAGACACCATGAGGGGGACCCCAAGCTACTGTGGGCTCACCTGTACTGAGTTTCTGAGGCTCCCATACCATGAGCAGCTGGAGTATGTCGCCCACACACACTCCAGCACGGATCTCTGTGCAGCGTCCCTGGCAGCCTGGATCACGACACTGCGGGACCCGGGGAGCAGAGCTGTCAGCAGGACAGGCCTGTACAGGAGGCCCCAGGCTCTAGGTCACCCCTCCAGTGACCCAGACAGCCTCTCAGAACCCCACTGATCTCCCCAGTGTGGCCTGAAGTTCTGTTGGTCTTTTCCAATTCATTTTAAATCCAAACCTGGGACTATTTGAGGACACAACAGTGTAACTGCAGAAGTTTTGGGCAGGAGTTCAGCCCAGCTTGTCCATAAATATTGCTGGGCGTTTTGTTGGCATGCCCTCGTCCTCTGTTGCTTTTGTGTGGGATGCTGGTGAGAGGAAGTGACCACAAGGGCTGCCTTCACCATGGTTGTGGGCCTGGGGTCTTAGGGGCTACATTTCCTCCCGGAAAGCAGGCGGCCCCTGTCCTGACCCCTGCCCGTCCCATGAGAAGGCTTTTCCAGAGTCTTTCACCCCATCTTCCATTGGCCCTCACACCCCTTGTTAGAGCACCCATGGAGGACAGGTGTGCCTCTGTGATGCCGGCACTAGGGAGAAGGACACAGTTGTAGGGCCCAGGGATGCCCAGTGGCAGGGTGGGCACTGGGAGACTGCTGTCTGTCCTGCCGTCCTCCCCATTCCAAGGCACGGAACAGCATGTGCAAAGGCACAGAGGTACGTGGTGTGTCTACCTGGGGGCTGGGACTGATTCCAGTGCCTGGAGGGAAAGCGGCGTGCTCTTGCTCTTCTGGGGAAGAGCTTTCCAGGGACAGGGCAGTGGTTGGAGGGCACCAGTCACTCGGTGAGCTGTCAGCAGCTATACTGTAGGCAGACTTCAGTGGGGGTCCAGCTGAGTGAGAGGGACATGGTCTCTGACCTCCAGGAGCCTTTGAGGGGTGGGATAGAGGGGGAGGGTGTTGTGGGATGCCAGGGAATAGGGTCTCGTGGTGCTGCTCCCCACGCACTCCACACTGAGTGTCCCTGGTCCTTGGTGAGGGGGCACTCACGCCCAGGTTTGCACCACCCCTCCCTGTGCTCCACTCCACTGAGGCTCTTCGTGCAGGAGACCTGCTCGCTGCAGGCAGCGGTGTCGATTTATGTTCTCAAGCTGCTCCTTCTCCTGTCGTGGGCTCGTGGCAAACACTTGTGGTCCTCACTTCACACAGCGCTGGCCTGAGGCACTTGGAGGCTGTTTGGGTGCTGAGGGATGAGGGCGAGGGAGGGCTGAGGAGGAAGTCTGCCTGAGGGGACGTGCGCCATTCTGCTGAGGAGAGTACCGGGGGAGCAGGTCTGTGAGACGAGGGTGTCCAGCACTGGACACATCGTCTCTGCCATCCCCGGGGCCCCAGGTGGAGACGTCCAGGATAGTGGGTCTGGTAGCTTCACATTTCGGTGTGGGGGCCTCAGAGCTTAGAGGGTCCCAGAAGCCGCGGGTGTGACTGCAGAGAGCCGGGGTGAGTGTGAGGTCGGTGTCTGGAGCTGGCGTCCCCTGGCCGGGCGTGGCCGGGGCTGGGTCAGACCCTGTCTGCCCCACAGGTACTGGAACTCCCTGCGGAACCTGGTGGTGTCCCTGCTCAACTCCATGAAGTCTATCGTCAGCCTCCTCTTCCTGCTCTTCCTGTTCATCGTGGTCTTCGCTCTGCTGGGCATGCAGCTGTTTGGGGGGCAGTAAGTGGGCCTGGGGTGGGGGAGCGGCAGAGCTCAGAGCAGACGGTGCTGCCCAGGCCGCCTGCACCTGCTTCCCCCTGAAGGTCCTTGAAGAGGGCTGGTGGCGCCAAGAGCGCAGCCAGTGGCAGCCCGTGACAAGCACTGGGTGCCGAGGTGCCGGGTCCTCTTGGCTCCGGGCGGGGCTGCCTCTTCACAAGAATTCTCATCTTTCTCAGGTTCAACTTTCAAGATGAGACTCCAACGACCAACTTTGACACCTTCCCCGCTGCCATCCTCACTGTCTTCCAGGTAAGGCTCCTGGCTCTCGGCTCTCCCAGGTGCTGGGGAGGCAGCCTTCTCCGTCAGCCCCTCCTTCATGCCTTGGCACAACCGCGACAGCCAACATTTCAGACAGAACTTTCCACAAAACAGAAGAGAACAGGAGACGAACACAGGCAGATCTCCACTGGGGGGGCCTCCAGTTGCTGGGACCGTGCCCCTAGATCTGGGGCCTGGGCCAGAAGGGACGCCCGATGCTGTGGTGCTGTCCCAAGGAGCAAGCGTCGCTCCCTGGGGAACTCAACGGTCCAGCAGCCCCTGGGCTTCAGGCTCCCGTTTATCTCAGCCCCTTGGACCTGGGATCACGCTGTCTTTTATCCTTTGAGGATAAAACAGCAAAGCTCTCCCAGATTTCTCCCTCCAGTGTCTCAGGGCCAGTGGCCCCTCAGTTCTCTTTTGTGTCTGGAAAACATGCCACCGCAGCTCCTTGGGAAGGAGGCTGTCAGCCCGTGTTCTGTGTGGTGCGAACCTTGTCAGCTCAGGGGCTCTGCCCTCTTGGAGCGTTCCCTTTTGAGAACTCTCTTGCTTGAGCACATTTCCCCCTCACAGGGCTCTGGCCCCCAAATGCTGCCCATGACTGGCCTCACCGCCATGATCCTGCCAAACATTTCTGTCTGATGAAACCTCCGCGGACCCATGTCTGGGACGAGCAGGATGGGCAGGTTGTTGTTTTGCCCATGAGGACTTCTAGGGAAGTCCAACAGGCTTGCATGTGCTCAGGCCTCACCTTGGCCTCCTGGGCTCTGGGGCTGCTGACGCTGCCGCTGGCCAAAGCTGGAGCCCACAACGTGCGAAGGAGAGGGGTCCTTCGGGTTCCACTCTCTCGGAGGAAGGGAGTGTCTCCAGCAGACCATTCAAACCAAACTAGGTGACCGCAAAGGATTAATTCAGTCCCAGTGGTCTGTGCCACACGCCCCCACGACTGTCCCGTCTGTGCCACACGCACCCACAACTGTTCCATCTGCGCCACACGCCCCCACAACTGTCCCATTTGTGTCACACGCCCCCACGACTGTTCCATCTGCACCACATGCCCCCACAACTGTCCCATCTGCGTCACATGCCCCCACAACCATCCCGTCTGTGCCACACACCCCCACGACCGTCCCGTCTGTGCCACACGCCCCCACGACTTTCTCCTCCGTGCCGCACGCCCCCACGACTGTCCTGTCTGTGCCGCACACCCCTACACTATCCTGTCTGTGCCACACGCCCCCACGACCGTCTCGTCTGTGCCGCACGCCCCCAGGACTGTCCCGTCTGTGCCGCACGCCCCCACGACTTTCTCCTCTGTGCCGCACGCCCCCACGACCGTCCCGTCTGCGCCACACACCCCCACGACCGTCCCGTCTGCGCCACACACCCCCACGACTGTCCCGTCTGCACCACACGCCCCCTCCACTGTCCTGTCTGCACCCTAAGCCCCCCACGACTGTCCAGTTTGCGCCACACACTCCCCACGACTGTCCAGTCTCCTGCTGCCCCCCCCACCCCACAACTGTCTCCTTCTCTTGTCCTGGGTTGGAGCCCGGCAGCCCTCAGCCCTTAGTGACAGCCAAGCAGAGTGAGCTGTTCTCCCTGAGGCACTTCTGCTCTGGCCCATCGGGACCTTGTGCTTCCTTTCTGACCTCACCTTTGAGTCACTTGGTGACTTCTCCCCCTTCTGATTTCCTAAGTGCGAGGATGCTTGTCCGCCCACTACTGTTCTCACCTTCTCTGACTGATGTGTTGAAAACCTTGGCTTCCTCACAGGCCAGTGACTTCCAAGAGTGGGTCTCCCGAAGGGTTTTGAGCACTTAGTGGGTAAGAGGGTCTGTGCCTCAGGGGTCAAAAATGAGTGGTGTCCAAGCCAGGGCTTCCAGCAGAGGGTGGCTGCAACCCGTCCCGAGCAGTGTGTCTGCTCAGTGATGGGAGGAGCTTCGTCTTCCTGGGAGGGCACAGCTGCCCTGTGCCATCTTGAATGTCAGGTGAGGGGGATCGGCCACAGTGCATTTGGGACAAAGCAATAAGAAGGTGAGTGGGGTCTGGAGTGGTGAGAGCACCGAGTTTGTGACGGAAGGCGTTGGGGACTGGTGGGGGCCAGGTTAAATGGCCTTAAATGCCAGACTGAGAGGCTTTGTCCAGTGGGAGCTGTTGCAGGGTTTCCAAAGCAGGGAAGTGATGTGATTGACAGTTAGAGCCCTGCATTGCCATGTTTGTTGCAAGAAAGGACCCGAACATGGTTAGTGGTGGTGGGAACCAAAGTGGAAGAAGAGGTCGAGTTAGGAGAGAAAGATGGGTTCTTCTGAGAAGATGACACTCTCATTTAGACCTTAGTCTCCCTCTGCTCTGAACACAGCAAGAAGATTATTAATACACTTAGAAAATAAAAGGACCTAGCCAAGCAGAAAACAATCTCTGTGGGCTAGAAATGGAACACTGGCGAGAGATGCAGAGACCCTGGCACCGGGATATTGTCGGGGAAGAAGAAGGTGGGAGCATCAGAAGCATCCATGTATGGCTCACCTGACTCAGTGCTGGGAAAGGCATCTGGCCCTTTAAGGATGCTGAGGTGAGCTGAGAGAGAGCTGATTATGGCTGGAGGAGGCTCAGAAGATGGCAAGGGCAGGGTGCCTAGGCCAGGTCTGTAACTCCCGCAGGATGCTGCTGAACCGAGGACCTGACACCCCAGGATGGGAGCTCCTTCTTCTGAATGGGCTTGGAGAGGGGACAGGGAGGGCATGTGACCAGGGAGAAAACAACTTCAACTTTGCTCATGGTGACCTTGCAGACTAAAACGGGGTGGAAGCTGACCCCACAGAAGAGAGTGAACAATACCCACAGTCAAAGGTGAGCTCAGTCCTAAAGAAACGGAAATAACAGAGCAAATACAGGTGACCTCAAACTGACTGTGCTTAATATCCTCAAAGAGTTAAAGGAAAAACTCATAGCACATAACACAAAATTATGAAAGGAAGGCATCTAAGAACCAAGAATAGATTAACACGAAAAAGAACTCAGCAGAAATCCTAGAAATGAAAAATTTAGCTATTTAAATAAGAAAATAAAGGGTGAACTGTAAAGTGGCCATGCTCCGAGAGAGAAGGTGTGAGTGGGGAGATGTGAGGAGTGGAGCCAGCTGCAGCATGGAGGCAAAGCTCAGACATCTGATGTGAGAGGGAGGAGGCCAACGTTGTTCCAGAACGAGTTTTAGAAAGAGTGTGCTCTGAGGGCCAAGCAGGACGAACAAAAACAATTCCAGACCTAGACACATTGTGATAAAGAGAAAATCTTAAAAACTGCTCTAGAAAGACAGATTTCCTGGAAAAGAATGACAGTCTGATGGTAAGCCTCTCATGAGCAGTGATGCCAGAAGGTCTGGGAAAAGTAACTTGAAAGTATTGGAAGACAGTCCCTGTCAGCCTGGAATTCCGATCCCGAGAGCTGTGATTCAAGCGTGAGCTGAACTAAAGACACGCTGGGACACAGACACAGGGAGAGTTACCACCCCGCCCCCAAGTGCTGAGAGCACCACAATGTTTATACATCTAGTAAAGTGGGTGATGTAGGAGAAAAACATATAATAAACTAACCCAAGAAGAAATGGAAAACCTGAACTATTTCAGAAATCGAATAATTAAAAATCTACCTATCCAAGCCACCTCATCTAGATAGTTTTACAAGTGAACTCTATGAAATTTTTAAGAAAGAATTTATAACAATTTTATACAGACCACTCCAGAGAAGATAAAAAGGAAAGCACCCCACTCATTTTATGAGGTTAGAATAAGATAACCTTGATGTGAAAAAACTAGACAAGGACAATGTAAGAAAAGAAAAATGTAGATCAGTGTCACAAACACAGAGACAAAACCATCCTGTGGGAAGTAACAACTCATCAGATCGGGATATGCTTAAAAATGATCTTTATGATCAACTTGAGTTCATCCTAGGAATGCAAGATGATTTAACATTAGAAAGTCCATTAATGTAATTCGTCATTTCAACAGATTAAGGAGGGAGAAAGCATTTGAGCTCTAGTGAAAGCACAGCCTTCACACAAGTGAGAGCACAGAGGAGACAAGATCACAGGTTGTGTGAGTCCTCGAGGCTGGGTGATGAGTGTGCAGGGGCACATGACACTCTCTACTTGGTGTATATTTGAAAATGTCCATAATACATTAATTTATAATACAATAAAAAAAATCACATGATAAAACGCAACACTCCTTCCAAATAAAAGCTCTTAGCAGATTATGCTAGTCTCAGTGGTCTTAGTGCAGTAGAACAAGAAAAAATGAAATAAGGCATTTGACAGGGAAGAAAGAAAAATGTCATTATTTGCAGATCAAATATTTGTATACACGGAAAACTCAAGTGTTGTCTTTGCAGATGGTGGGGAACTGTTTGGTTATCCATAGAGAAAAACATGAAATTGGATTCCTACCTTGTACCAGATTTAAAAATCAATTCAGATGGATGAAAGTGTAAATGTGAAAAGTAAATCTGAAATTTAGAAGAACATACAGGAGTGTGACGTTATTAACTCAAGGCAGGGAAGGCCTTTTTGCAGAAGAGAAAAGAAATGGTCATAAAGGAGATGATTGACTAATCTGACTATCAAAATAAAAATTTCTATGCATCAAAAGACAACAGAAAAAGGTAAAAAAAAAAAAAAAAAACCAACGAGTCAGACTGAGAGAAGGCATTTCCACAGTGTAAGCAAATAACCAACGAAGGATCAGTGTCCAGAATACATCAGGAACTTCCACAAATCAACAAGAAAAGACAAATAATGTAGCAGGAAGGAGCAAAGGATGTAACAGGTACCTCTGGGAGAGGAAATTGGGCTGATGCATAAACTCATAAAAACTCTTATCAGCTCTACTAGTAGCCAGGGAAATGCAGATTAAACCCACAATGAGACAAACCTTTCATCTGTCAGTTTAGCTGAAATTAAGAAATCTAACAATATCAAGTTTTCATAAGAT